GTTTATCACATGTGTGTTCACTTAGTTCGTAAAAATGTTTATAGGTAGTGCAATGGACTGGGAATGCTCCTCAAGTATTTTCAGGTAAATTTACAAAAAATTAAGATTTTATCTTTGTAGATAACCTGCAAAGAAATAAACTTTTCAATTATTTTCAGATAAATAATCATAGAGATAATTTGTGATATATCATACTTTCATAAGTTAGAAAACAGTGCAGTAAACAAAGAAAGTAAGAAGTAACGTATTACCCATTGGCTGTACAACTAAATGCAAGATTCCCATGTGCTTATAAGATACTAGACAATAACTAAAAGTGAACCGAAGATCATTTCCAGATATATATCATGATTATATTAGTGCTATCTCACGTGTGATGATAGGATTAAGATTCGCAACTCAGAATAATGATGAAAATTGTTCACTCTTTTACAAGCTTTGGTTTTTGGACGTTCAATCATCACGCTCGGTGACTTCATTTACACTTTGTAAAGAAGTTGCATAATTGTTTGATGACAATGTCAAGAATAGATACGAAATCTTGAAGTGCACTGAACAATCATCATTTTGTCACTTCTCTCTATTATTCTTACAAAGTCACTGAAGAAGTGATGAATGAACTGAAAGTTTTACCTTAATGCTGAAACGAAAGTGTTCGGTTCTACTGATAGGAGAATGCAACCAACAGTGATTTGTTTTATGAGGTATAGGTGAATGGTGAAGTCTAATCATAGAAACTTACGAAAAATTAACTTTTTTTCAATAGGTTACGTATAATAATGTGTTTATTTTAGAGAAGATGCAGGTCCAATGTAATGGTTCACATACTAGAATAAATTACAATAACCTTTTGAGGTAGGGAATCATAAACTAATGGACTAGAGAATCAGTGTGCAATTATCAAACTTAAGTATTGGCAACAGATTCCCAGTTATAAGTCGGGTGCTAAAATGAAGTGACTCCCTGTTTTCAGTCTTCAGATGAAGTTAGTCAAGCACAGAAAGTGACTATCTGTGAGTGACAATCATATCCAAATGAAATAATCTTAATAGTATGCTGTCTACTTCAACACCAACTGGTTTATTTTAAAGACCATGCTGGTTTGTTTTTTAGTACAGGCGTCCGGAAGTACTGAATTCCTGAAATCATTCATAATCAGCGAGTATAGCCTTAAGTTTCGAGAAAAGGTACATGGTCTCAGTCTTCGGTTTCTGATTGTTGAAGGAAATAAGAAACTTACAGAAAATGACTTTTTAGAAAGGTGTGAGAATAAAGGAGGCTATATATGTACATACACATATACACATTTTGTGCGTATTTTTAGAGTTTCTGTAAACCTTGTTTATTCTCTATTTATGAGGAAATAAGTGGTACCTTAGGGTTATTATTCCTACAATAATTTGACCCACGATGGTGGGAAAAGCTACCTTGAACACAGCTCTGTATACCATATACTTTGGAATCAGTTGCTACAGATTTTCAGCTATTTCCATGGCAGTGATTTTGAATATACATTGTGTACTGCTCACAACTCACAATAACTCGGTTTTCTTTGTAATTTGTCAGTTAAAGAAATTTTTTTCCGAATTCGAAATAAATTATTCAGTGTGAATATTACTAATTGTTTCATTTTGTTTTAACATTTAGAGTGAAAGGTCAGCATTTTCGCACAGTATAAGCAAAGATTTGTAATGGAAAGAAAAATTAGAGAATATAGTTTTGAAGTTGCGGTGGTTTTTATTCCGGCATCGGCTTCTTTTGAAATCCAGATATCTGGATAATGATCGCCTGAATAAACTAATGGCTGAAATAACACTAAGATTCCACGATTAACTGGGTTCTTCACAGTCACATCGATAAATATTTCTACTTAATCGATATGCAATATATCATATTCCTATAATTCGAAGACGTTTTTGTTATGATATTGCATACCAACCCTATCACCAGTTAGTCTTTGAAAGGAACGAAATTACATGGTGGTGTTTACTAACTGAAAAGTGATACGACTTGTGAAGGAAGCATTTCAACGCCCTTTTACACAATGTCCAGCTGGCGTCTCAAGATGCTTTCTTCAAGCATTCTAAGATGGTATACTTAAGTACTTTGGAATATAGTTACTGTGATAAACGTATCTTTCGCGTTTAGGTCCGTGGCAGCAAACTTCTGAAAGGATTCTCGTCAGTCTTTTGTGTGTAATATTTTGTTGTACTTTTGAACATGAAATGCAAAAGTTTATCGTTAATATGTATTTCTTTGTTTCACCAAGTATGCGATATTTAGTTTTCTGCTTTGGGTAAACAGTTTTATGCCTAGTTAACTCTTTTTCCTGTAGCAATTTTTATCACAGTTCTATCTTCAGAACAGCTCCAAATAGGTTCATAAGAATAATTTCGAATATTTAATATGAAACCATTAACTGGAAAGGCATCAGTCATGTTTCATTTTCAATTAGCTAATAAGTTCTTTTCCTCTCCTATATTTCCTTCTATCTTCTCTTGTTCAATGAACTGAGTTTCTAATATACATGAGCTAAATCATTCAAGTAGAAGTCATAACTTTCAATTTGTTGTTTTCTGTATTTTTCAGTTTTACAACAAATGATGAAGGGGATATTAGGGAACGAAAGCGGAATATACTTATCAGTTCAGATTCTTTCATAAACAACTTTCACATCATTGTTTACCATCTCATCATCTTATGAAGGATACAAAAGAAATATTAAATGAACAACATATTTGATAGAGCGTAAAATTATATTTGAGAACAAAATTTATTCATTCAAGAGTGTAACTGATAAATTTTCCTTAATCACCTTTAAAATGACATATTGTAAAACAGCAATTAAGAGATTGATCAATCAATCAGTTATTCATTTGTAACAGGTGAAAAATTATTTTTCAGGTGTGATAAACGATTATGCGATTAAATTTTCTTCTGACGACAACTGTTGCCAGACAAGTAAAATAATAATGTATTTGGCTAAACTTGTGAATATAAATTAAATGTAAATTAGGTCACTTCTGTTTGCTAATGAAGTAAAATGGATTAGGGATATACTTTCTAATCAGTTATATCACACTTAGTTCCGTAATTATAGGAATAAAATGTATCATTTTTGATATAAGTGATCTGTCCTGATCATTTTGTCTACCTATAAGGCAAAGTTCTCTCTTCAACTTGTTATTTTAAGCTGATAGGTATCTAGCAATTATAATAATGTTTTCGTTGTTATAACAGAGAATCATCAAATTTGCAGTTTTTAACAAATAAACACACTGGCTATTCCCAAACTGTATGTATTACATACTATGCATGTCTATGAAGAATGTTTTGTTATAAGTTTACCCTTTCACAGTTATCTTTATTTCAACGCATATTCAACGTTCTTTCTGAGGTATTTGTTGCGGAATTACGAGAGACGGAAATAACTTCTGTTAAAACAAACTAAGCGGATAAAAATGAGGTTTTGAAACTATTGAGAATGTGAAAGTAGCGTATTTTGTTTTATGTCTTTCTAGGCAGTCAACAGGGATTTTTAAACATATTCTTTTCTCTCTTCTTATTTTAAATTAAGGCTTATATATGATTCTTAGTAAACAGATTTCGGTTCCGTAACGTATTCAAAGTTCTTTACAATTTTATTGTAAGGGATTGAGTTGTCATTCAGTGTCGTATAACTTTTGGTTGCTGGAATTGAATGTTCACTTCATTTGAGTTAAGGGCTTTATCAAAATAAGAAAAAGGCATAGCTTTTGGAATATAATGCCGATGAGATACTTTACTAAGAATACTGCATTCTTCTCAGAACTTGCATTTCAAACACTGAACATTATACACATAAAATGTTTAGTAATCTAATTGTAAGTTTTCAGCTGAAATAAATTTATTCTGATATCTGTTTATGGATTAGCTAGTAGGTGGCTACTGGATTGGTTTTACCAGACGTTGTGAAATACAAATAACTACCTTGATTTCGATTAAGACGTCGTACTTGACGTTACAAACTTCGCGAAGTGAAAAACCAGTTGGGAAAATAACTGAATATTTCTATATAAACGGGCTGGCAAGCATATGAACGATAGCGCCTTCTTGACTCAGAGTATACCTATAGTCGGAAGTAACGTCAGCATAGATTTCTGATGAAACAAGCGGGGTTATGAAGTGATGCAATGGTAATGAAGTCATTAGGAAAGATCAAAACTGGGAATTCCTGAAATCAGAAGGGGAATATCTCTGCAGAAGTTTGATAGAAGAGTATAAGCCGAATTGATTTTCTTTAAGTTTACTTTAACATATTCAGATGGTCTCTAAACTGATTTATTTTGGTGGAGACAACCAGCTGTTCACTAAATGCGTAGTTCATTTTGGAAATGTTACTGACTTCGAATCTTTCAAGTCAGTCACTGATAGCAGTTATTGGTGTGCAGCAAGATTTTGACGAACAATGGGAGACAAAGTTAAGTTATTAGTTTGTTTTCTTGAGCCTCTAGTAGTGACTTTCACGAAGTAACTTGTGAAATTACACTGAAATATCTCACATTTTGGTGCTGCTAAATTCTTCTTTGTACATCATAAAGTCATGATCTTGTTTATGTCTTAAAATGGAGTATCGTTCATAGGACTGAAACAAAAGCCCTGAAAATCTACATTTCTCTGCAACGTTGACCGATTTATGGTACATGTTGAAACAAAGTGAATTTTATCATTTCTACATACCTACACATGTCTACAAGTGACCCGGCACCAAACTGCACTTATAAATAATTTATTTTTGTTGAAAAGATGCTTTTTTTTAATTGTAATGTGGTTGCGCTGCTTAGTCATGTACATCACCTTGGCTCATTACTTAAAGTGGAGTAAAGTGATGCAGATATGATAGCTGTATAGTGCAAATGGTTTCACTAATAAATGCTGTAGCTTGACACGTCTTCAGAAGTATAACATTTTGGACAGGATTTTTAATCGGGTAAGGGCACTTAATTTAAACTTAGACTTACCTGACACGAAGTTGAACAGTCGATCGTTTGACTTCTCGGCCATCTGCAGATTTCAAGGCACTGGAAAATAGAAATGAATGAGTGAAATCACCGTAGAAAGATGAAATATAAGTAAACTGTCATTTATGAAGTATTTCATGTCTACTTTGATATCAATTCTAGAATTCATTAACCAGACGGTTTATGTGATTGTGACAAAGTTCTGTGCTTTAAATGAATTGTCATAAAACTGAGTGACATTTTGGGAATTCTTCGCAGACTGGCAAGTGATGTCCCTTAAACGTTTTACTTACTTTAATGTTAGTTGATTACAGTGAGCTATATGACCCTACTCTCTCTTAAACGTTTCCTGATAATGGACATGAATTAAGTCAGCATGCTTAGTTCGAGTATCAGAACTCAGTCATTATGCATCAACGTTTTTTAAAAATTCCACAAAAATTCAGTTTCTCGTACACAATGGAGGTGTGGTATCAAATTACAGAAAGATGCTGACATTCTATGTCGACACAATTCATATACTTAAGAAGGAATGGTTACTGATAAGTTGAATAATTTCAACAGCCTCTGAAAATATGAAACAAAACAACAGTGACCTGATGTGTCCACTGATATCATCCTAAGGCCAGAAAATAATGAATGCTGATTACTTTTAATTTAGTGAACTACAGGATAATGAAAATTGAAGCAACATCAGAGTATGCATTCCAGGAGCTGATATGCCACCATAGACGCCCCAATTTAATTGCATTTATAAAGAGAAATTATAATTATTAGAAAAATACTTCTAACTTGTTTCATTCTCAGATAACAAAGAGAATGCAGCAAATCGATTTAAGTGAGAAAAGTCTGAGAAGAGAACGAGTATAATACATTTGTTTCAACAGATGTAAGCTTGTAACTTTTTTATTTTTTACCTTTTGGCCTCAGGCGGACAGATTAATTATCAATGAACAATTTTTATTATTTTATCTGAATAAGAATTTCGTTAATTTCATTAGTGTATGAATCAGATGATAAGTTTGTATAAATGGAAGAGATAGAAAAGCAATTATTTTCTCAAAGAGTTTTTTTATTCTAAGACTTCTACAAAACAGCATTTAACAATTGACTGTGAATTTCACTGAGTTTTGACTAAGAACTTTTTTGGATAGATATCGATAAATAGCATTTTTTTTGACTAGGTTCTATCTACATAGCAGACATGAAGTGAAACCTTTATGTAGTTGAAACGTTTAACAAATAAACACTATTTATATTTACCACTTTATTAGATGAAGTTGAGAAACGAACAGCTGTAATCAGCTCCATTCGTATACTTTCAAATTTCTTTGCGGTTTCTCTTGTTTTAGGTAAGTACTATTCTGTTTCGACTGTACTATCATTTACCTGATGCATTCATTAGTAAGCTCTGAAATTCACGTTATGAGATGACTGTAGTGAAAGTATTGGTTTAGGTTAGATAACTTGTAGGCCTTTACACTACTTTAATGTATAGACAAACTGATGACATTTATTTTCATTCAAAGCATATTATATTTAATAATGTGGTTCAGAAACTCTTCGATACAGCTGATTTAGTAACAGTAGTAAATGTCATATAAATTTCTATCTATTCTTTAGCTGAATCGGGAAATGAGAGAAATGAAGTACAAGCTGTTAAGTAGGCAAGATTTCTCCAAATTTTTGCTAATATTTAATGGTTTGACTATTTTACTGCATATTCCTTTTATAACTCGTGACCAGTAGCATAAAAGCGAAGAACAAGTTGATTTTTCTTTCAGAAAGCACTTCTAGCTAAACTTTAGTCTGATTTGCCTTGATTCACAAATCTGAACTATTGATCAACTTTATTTGATACAATTGCGGTACAGACAATGAAATATTGGGCAGCTGTTTCACTTTACCATTAATTTATTTTATTGCGCTTACAGTCGATCCTGTCTTGAATCAAAGTTGGAAGCTATATAGTTTGATTAACTGCTTAGTTTTTTTACAGTTATTCATAAATGAAACCTGTTTCAAGGATCTCTATACAACTCTTATCTCAAAGTTGGTTATCAAAATACGAAGTAATAGACAATGATTTTCATGCTATAATAGTAAATAAGTTTTTGTTGGTAAAATTCGCCATATGATAACGTAGATGATTATTTGATAAAATTATACAGTTAGATTTAATGTCTGAATTCTTAAGTTGCATTTCTTCTGTGATATGAGCAGTAGTGAATTATATAAATTAATGTATTGAGGCCAAATTGAGAGTGTCATGGACTATCTTTTTGAATACTTTCCAAAGCATAAATTTCGAAGCAGGAAAACGTACCTACAATCTTGGCAAAAATAAGAACAAATTTATAATTTCAGTCAAGGCTACTCAACATACCTAAACTATTGAAGTATAATTTACTAGATAAAGCAATAGTTGAGTCTAATAACAAGTTTAGAGACTTACAAGGTCATCATAAATGACAGTAGTGAAATGTATTCATGACTTACTGAGGACTACTGTCTTGATGCGGTATCTGAGAGTTTTTTAATAAATAATTATTATTCACAGTGTCATCGAAGTAATTCCCAAATACACTTTTAAAAGAAATTCGGGTTTCAGGCGATCTTAGAATTGAAGTAGCGATACAAATATCTGGGTGTCAATTTTTCCGAAATTATATTTCAAACTAAGCATTTTTCTGCATTTCGATTCAATTGATTTTCAAGATCTGTAAGCTTCTCTTACCCTTTCAAAACATGATCTCACAAATTGTATTCAGTAGTGATGAAGTGGTTTGCTCGTTTATAACTGCTATTACATCATATACATTGTTTCTAACTACTAATGATAAAAGATACTGATAAGAAGCAAATAGAGCAAGAAAGATGCGTTTGCACTTTTAGGAGGTTCTTGTTGCTACTTATCAACAGTATCTTACAATGCTTTGAAATTCTAAAGTATTGAGTTTTGTTAAAGATGAATTTGTTACTAATTTCACTAAAAAAGGAATAGAGTTTAATCAACAATATTGAACTCTGTAACAGTTTTATTTATGACAAAACGACATGGATAATGTTTACTATGCCATTAAGTTCCATGAGGATGAAGCTCAGTTTTAATGACAGCCAAATGAAATACCAAGTACTTTGATCGAATAATCTTATCCGCTGAATATGCATACGTCTTTGTTTTCAAACGCAGGTTAAAATTGGAAGAATGAAGGGCAAATATCGTTCTGTGTATTTTCACAACTTATTTCATGCTATAGTATGGATCTTCCGAATAACTGGTTATATCTGATCTCACTTTGGTTGTAAAATATTTCACTATCAGTTTAGACATTGGTGTTTATGCATTTGTACAATCAAAATAGTTAGACATATTCTTTTCAGGTCAAAACATGAGCAGAAAATATCTGAATTTGTGAGAGGAATACTCGTGTGTATCAGTCATTAGCCTGAGTTAGCACTAATTTTGGTCATTTAGTGAAGCAGTGATAAGAAGAGACAGGTTTCTTTTGTCCTCAAAATTTATCAGATTTAAAAACCACGATCGAACTGTACTTCTGTTTACTTAAAGCCCTAAAACATAGCAGGAGTTTATGATAAGATCGGTGTCATTTCGAATAAAAGATTTCGAAGCAAGAAGGAAGGACATGCTTTTTGCATATTGGTTTTCTAATACCGGTCAGACAAAAGTATTCATAAAAATAGCCTACTGTTGAATAAAACTGATTTGAAGTACAAAGAAGACGTTTATTTAGTGTGTCTGTGTCCCCACATATAATTTAATGTAAGCTTGCAAGAAACAACTTTTCTATTCTAAAACAAATTATAGTTGCACTATTACACTAAAAGATTCTGCTTGTGAAAAGAACGGATCAGCACTTGGAAAAGAATTCCTCAAGGTAAGCTTTTTACTTTATTTTTTCTAACTTTTTTCAACATAAACATAAGATAATCCATTCACACTCGCCTTTAGGCATTTCCTTCCACTCTTACCGTGGCTCAAAAAATTACCAATAGAAAACAGATGATTGTTTCATTTATGCTTTGTTGACTGAAATAATTTTCATGATCATTAGTTATTTTGTGTAATAAAATACCAAGTGGTTACCTAAAGTGTTTGCAAACGAAAGAAAATTAAGAGAAAAGCTTAAGTGAAGTTGTATGTGCATGTTTTAAACAACACTTGAAATGATAGACATTTGATCTGTTTATATAATTTTAGAAGGAATAGAGTAATAGTAATAAAAGTTAAACATTTCTCATCCGAAAAACAATATTATCTAATTATTCAATATTAGAATTGCAATCCTCCACCTGTTTTGTCTGAAGCTTCCTTTTGTTTCCTCAGAGTTTGTATAGGCACACTTTTTGGAATGGATCACATTCGGTTCTTGAGCTTATTCATTCAACACTTTTAGTGATTTACCATCATTTATTGCTCATACAAATTGGGCCAGAATAGTCCCAGGGAATAATATAAGAAATACTTCAGGAAACGAATTTGGTTTGAGTGACACTTCTTTCTATGGCTGCTATGTATCATATTATTTATTTTCCTTTGGGTTCCTAGTAGAACATAGGGATTCAGTAGCACAACTCCATTCCAATCTCATCTCTCCAGTCTTTTGAACCTGGCTCCACCACTGCCCACAAGCTTTCCTTTCTTGCTCACATGATTTCCTCCATGTCACCCTTGCCTCAGACCCCCAACTCGTCGCTTCCCATCAGTGTTTCACTCAAGGGCCTGACGCGTGATGTCCCTAGTCGGCCTTCTCAGTGTATGCTCAGTCCAATCCATCTCCACTTTCTGCTGCATATTTGTTCAGCGACAGTCTCTTGGTTGGTTCGTTGCCAGTCAGAGTTCCTTATTGCTTATTCTCTCTGGTCACCCATCTGATCTTCAGTATCGAGCGTAAGTAGCTGTTGATGAATGTCTGTAGTTTGTTGAAAATGCTTTTCATGACACGCAAAGTTTCTGAACCATATAGCAGAACTGACATGACGTTGGTTTTGAAAATCCGGATCTTTTTCTTTGTGCTGAGTGCAGTAGATCTCCACAG